GTTTGCACCAGCGTTTGCACCAGTGTTTGCACCAGTGTTTGCACCAGCGTTTGCACCAGCGTTTGCACCAGTGTTTGCACCAGCGTTTGCACCAGCGTTTGCACCAGTGTTTGCACCAGCGTTTTTTCTTGAACGCAGGATCGCAGTTCAACCAAACATCTATCGTTGAATCAAAGTTATATAAAACGTTGTTCCCTTAGCTTAGATAAACGTTAATTAAACGTTGTTTTGTTAGATAAACGCTAATTAAACGTAGTTTTGATAGATAAACGTTAATTTAACGTTTTTTTGTCGAAATAACGTTTAACTAACGTTATTGTGTTGAATTATCGTTGCTTAAACGTTGTTGCAACATTGAATGTCTGGTATAACTCAACCCTCTTCTTGACGTCGCAGGCATTGAGGCCTTACGCAGGAATTGAGCCCTCACGCAGGAATTGAGGCCTCATGCAGGCATTGTGGCCTCACGCAGGCATTGAGCCCTCACGCAGGCACTGAGGCCTCACGCAGGCATTGTGGCCTCACGTAGGCATTGAGGCCTCACGCAGGCATTGAGGCCTCACGCAGTAATTGAGGCCTCACGCAGGCATTGAGGCCTTACGCAGGCATTGAGGCCTCACGCAGGCATTGAGGCCTCACGCAGGCATTGAGGCCTCACACAGGCATTGAGGCCTCACGCAGGCATTTCGTTCGATTGGAATAAAGATTTTCTTCAATGAATGAAAGCCCTGAGGTTTGATTTATCTGAATAAATATAAATGATCAGAATGATTATCAGAATATAATTTAATTGAATAATTCAAATGATTATAAGATTTAATTCATAGATATTAACAACATAAACAGTGAGTAATCTGCACGAACTAATCAAATTTCCCGATAATTGTCGTAGACTAACAGTACTAGCTAAAAATTACCTGAAAAAGAACATCATTTGTGGTTCAATTATATAAATATACCTCTTTTTATAGGACTTACACTGATATATATCATCCAAAATATATAAAAGAAAAACTATTTTTGGTTGGATACTCTTCTATGCTTGCAAATTCTGACATTATCGAATAATTTATCATAGTTTTGTCAAGTTTAGTATTCATTATTATGTTTATTTATTCTGATATTTTCGAATATTTCTTTTCGTATAACAGAGAAAATATGTGAACAAAATACATGAAAATGAAATTATTTTAACCGTACATGTCATTGAGAACAAACTGCAGTACATCGTGCATCATTGATACGCTGCACTCCTGGTAAACCGGGCTACATAAGCCGGGTGAGATAGCCGGACCCTGGCCACCTCAACCGGACATGCCTGCTGCAGTGGGAGGCAGCAACAAGTACAGCAAGCAGCGAAAGCAGCAGCAACAACAACAGCAGCAGCAACANCGGCGCTTATTTCGCTACGGCAACCGGAACCTAATGCGGACATAGAGCTTCTAATTTACCCGGCCATAAGAACCTGGGGCGTCCGTGTGCCAGCGGCTGACAGGTCTTCGAATTTCGATAGGGTGTATTCGAGTGTGTTTAAGCCTGCTTGTTCTTAACCGTGGGATCACCGTCCATCCAAACATCTGACGGTGAAACAAAGTTATATTAAACGTTGTTTTGTTAGATAAACGTAAATTAAACGTTATTTTGTTATATAAACCGTAATTAAAAGTCGTTTTGTTATATAAACGTTAATTAAACGTTGTTTTGTTAGATAAACATTAATCAGACGTTGTTTTGTTAGATAAACGTTAATTAAACGTTTTTTTGTTAGTTAAACGTTAATTCAACGTTATTTTGTATAATCGAATCGTGATTTTGTGGGATCTTTTTTGTTGTGGAATTAACGTTACTTAATTGTTATTTCAAATGCCTGCATGAAGCACGCTGTTTGGTGAAATTAACGTTATATCAAACGTTGCTTTGCTAAATTAAAGTTGAATATAACGTTATTGTGTTGAATTAACGTTAATTAAACGCTATTTCTACGTTGAATGCCTGGTGCGGTCTATGTACACAAACAAGTCACTATGGACGTGTGAACTCAACCCTCTTATTGAAGTCGCAGGCGCTGAGGTCGCACGCAGGCTGCGTGTATTTCGTTCGATCAAAATGAAGATTTCCTTCAATGAATGAAAACCCTCGAGCTCGATTATCAGAATTTATTTAAATGATCAGAATGATCATCTGAATCTAACATGATTAAATAATTCAAATGATTATAAGATTTAATTTAGAATATATTTCCAATACTACAGTTGGTAATCTACACTGACTAGTCAATTTAATATATAATGTACCATCTGTAACATATAATGTACCACCTGGAAAATTAGTTGGGCAATAACAAATACATTATATTCTCTATATAATTATTTGGATGTATATACCCCTTTTCATAGATCTTTCTATACGCTGCACTCCTGGCAACGCGGGCAACGGATGAGCCGGGTAAGACAGCCGGGACTCGAGCCTCCTCAACCGGACATGCCAGCTGTAGCTTTAGTAAAAGCAACCACAGCAGCAGCAACAACAGTAACAGCAACTGCAGCAACAGCAGCAGCAGCAGCAACAGCAGCAGCAGCAGCAACAGCAGCAACAGCAGCAACAGCAGCAGCAGCAACAGCAGCAACAGCAGCAACTGCAGCAGCAGTTGAAGAAACAACAACAGCAACTCTCTCACCGACGTCCAACCCTCCGACGTCCAACCCTCCGACGTCCAACCCACCGACGTCCAACCCACCGACGTCCAACCCTCCGACGCCCAACCCTCCGACGTCCAATTCTCCGACGTTCAACCCTCCGATGTTCAACCCACCGACGTCCAACCCTCCGACGTCCAACCCTCCGACGTTCAACCCACCGACGTCCAAACCTCCGACGTTCAACCCTCCGACGTTCAACCCACCGACGTTCAACCCTCCGACGTTCAACCCACCGACGTCCAACCCACCGTCGTCCAACCCACTGACGTCCAACCCTCCGACGTTCAACCCACCAACGTCCAACCCTCCGACGTTCAACCCTCCGACGTTCAACCCACCGGCGTCCAACCCTCCGACGTCCAACCTTCTGACGTTCAACCCTCGGACGTTCAACCCACCGACGTCCAACCCTCCGACGTCCAACCAACCGACGTCCAACCCTTCGACGTCCAACCAACAGACGTCCAACCCTCCGACGTCCAACCAACCGACGTCCAACCCTCCGACGTCCAACCAACCGATGTCTAACCCACCAACGTTCCTTTATTAACGTTAAATAACCTGATTTTTCCACAACGCTCTAAGAGAACGTAATTAAAATGTTTATAGTAAAGAACAACAATTTAAATAGGCTTATTTTACCCAGTAAATAGAGCACATTATTGTACATAGAAGCATGTGTACTATTGTGCAGCTCGATTTGCATTAGGCGTATATATATTGCATGAAAATACCGCGACATGTAATGTATCTATTGGTATGAAAATAACGCGACATGTAATGTACATATTGGCATGAAAATAACGCGACGTAAAATTTGAATATTGAGTTGAAAAATAAGTATACAGACTATACATACACAAAATTGACCATTTGCATAGCTGAAGTTATTATAAATCGTACGTACGGTAGGTATGTATACGGCAGCGAAAACTTTAGACACACAAACAGTATAAACACACACGTAACGTCTATGTATAGAACGAACAGCAACTATATATAAACAAACAAAAATCGGAATGCCAAATGCGGCGGCGATGAATAAAATAAAGAAACAATATGAATACACTGAATATGGCACATTCACGATTATGCATGGTTGAACTATAAAAGGTTGACCCGCAAGAAGTTCAACTTTTCAGTGCATCTTTTTTATGACGTCACTGAAATTTCTGAAACGTAAACAGTCCCGTTCAGGGATTGTTGACCTAAAATTAACCTCCTCAAAATGACCCAAGAAACTTTAAAATTGCAACTAATGTTATTATTTACGGTGCCTGTGTTACTTACCAATTTTGTTGAGCGGAAAAAGAAATATATGACAAAAAAGATGGGTTGACGGACAAAGTCCATTAGTATTAGCGATGCCTGTAATGGCTGCCGCTCTGCTACCGGTCGTAGAAATGGAGGCGATATTCAATCGAATTGATTTTTTCAGCTAACGCCGTATATACATGCATCTCTGTTATTATTCTTGGTAATATTTTTTATTTGCTTCAGCTCGCTTACTTGCCGTTTTTTCAGGAAAATTCTATTGAGGACTCTGAAATTTGCATTCGACTTAGGGCGGCCTAGGACCTCGGTTTAATGTCCTACTTATTTCTTTTACGCAAGACAAATCGCTTCAAAACTTTTAAATGATTAGATGAAGGCTAGTTGAAAAGACCGACGTTTTGGGGGAAATTTTGAAATGGTAAAGTTTTCATGCAAACTCTCAAATATGGCACTAAAACGTGACACACGTAATTGTTTACGTTTTTACCTCTCAGTGACGTCATAAGCAACTAGTTCAACCATGGGATTATGGTTTAATATAAATCAAATGCTGAAGTAAGTTAATTAGGTGCAAGAAAACCCGTACAGTCTAGTAACTTATCGGCAGCAGCGGAGCAGCTGAGATGACACGTGTTACCCCTTTCTCGTCCTGACGCGCAATGAACCTCATCAAGTCACTCAGGTGGGAGGGGCGAGTGGACCTCAAGCTTATGGCAGGTTGGTCGCGGCGGCTGTGAAAGTAAACAACCTCCTCCCTCATTGCAGTCAATGCAGATAAACAAATTGCAACAAGGGCTTTTATTAGCAGACTTATTTACTCTAAATTGAGTTCAAACCACACATGCATAGACATTACATTGTAGCAATACCCGCTTTAACTTGGCATGAAAATAACGTAATGGTAAGGTAAAGGGTAAAGGGTAAGGGTATAGAGGGTGTGAGATGAGGACAGACTCTTCAGTGTCAGCCAGTCAGCCACACGGCGTACGCCAGTCAGCCACACGGCGTACGCCAGTCAGCCACACGGCGTAAGCCAGTCAGCCACACGGCGTAAGCCAGTCAGCCGCACGGCGTACGCCAGTCAGCCACACGGTGTAAGCCAGTCAGCCACACGGCGTAAGCCAGTCAGCCACACGGCGTAAGCCAGTCAGCCACACGGCGTAAGCCAGTCAGCCACACGGCGTAAGCAAGTCAGCCACACGGCGTAAGCGAGTCAGCCACACGGCGTAAGCGAGTCAGCCACACGACGCAAGCCAGTCAGCCACACGGCGTAAGCCAGTCAGCCACACGGCGTAAGCCAGTCAGCCACACGGCGCAAGCCAGTCAGCCACACGGCGTAAGCGAGTCAGCCACACGGCGTAAGCGAGTCAGCCACACGGCGTAAGCCAGTCAGCCACACGGCGTAAGCGAGTCAGCCACACGGCGCAAGCCAGTCAGGCTGAGTCAGCCACACGGCTGCCCCAACAGGCTGTTGTCACGCCTGCATCACCATGCACGAAAAGACATTATTGAAACAATATATAAGAAATGAATGGTTCCATAAATAAATAAAAACATTAATCAGGTCCATCAAGAAGTAAATCATTATTATGACCATTTCATAGGCACATAATCTTCAATATAATAAGAAATAAAATTAGATTGCAAACACTACGTAAAATGAACAAAACCTGCAAAACGTCAGTTTTTTCCATATATCCTACAACCGAAAATGCGATTGCGTCATGACGACTTTTTTCCCTGCACCACTTCTTGTGGCATCATTCTAATGGCAAGGCTGCCACGCCATGCACTGCACCACTTCTTGTGGCATCATTCTAATGGCAAGACTGCCACGCCATGCACTGCAACACTTCTTGTGGCATCATTCTAATGGCAAGGCTGCCACGCCATGCACTGCACCACTTCTTGTGGCATCATTCTAGTGGCAAGGCTCCCTTCTCATTCTGTTTACCCTAACAATTATCAATCATTGCTACAAAGCTATATTTGCTAAGCATGTTAGAATGTATATCGTTGCATTTTCTCGAATACTGAGTTGTGAGTACATCAAATGAGTAATATTAATTCAGGAAGCTCGCAGTATTCTCATATTTTGTCGAGGATCAGCATATGTTGAATGATATTAGTTTGCTAGATAGATTTTCATTCGGGATTTCTTCAGCTTCAGCAGCCGGCCAGACAGAGTCTCCTTGACCGTGCCACGCATGGTAGAATTTGCGTTGATCAATATGTGAATATTGCCGTAGTTCGGCAAAAGTTCTTTATGGCAGGTTCCATTGAAGATTGGAGGCAGAAAGTATTTCTATTGACAATTTTTTGTCATTATTTGGCAAATTAGGCTTTTAATAAGACCTGAAAATTCAAAGATTAGGTTTCCAAGGGACATTTTATTATAATTTACGACATTTGGAATGCAACTACATTCATTATCAAGTAGGGGAAGAGTTTTGCAATACATGAATTTGAAATTTTGAAATGACGTCTGTACAAACATAGGGTGGTCTTCAAAAACTTATTGACCGGAGTATATAAGTACATAAAAGATAATGAATGTTCGAGATTGTTACTATGTGCTTGGTGTTATGTTTATATTATATTGCGGCACAGAAATTAGCTGGCCAAACTGTGTTGTTGCCGGTCTACTCAAAGCTTTCGTGTTGTTGTTCTTCAAGAATACACCGGTGTGTTTTCGAGTTGTTCAAGAACTTTCGTGTGCTTTGTGTTTCCTTTCGTGTTGTTGTTCGACTACAGATATTAGGGCCGCAACAGAAACTTCTTCATCATCTGGACTACACTGGGGTAATTGGACCAGCAACTGCGTCGAGTATTACAAACAAGCAACTTCATCTCAAAATCATCGATGAATTCAACTGGCTTGGTGATACCCTTGACTACAACGTCAAGCACTGGACTATACACAACAATTGACCCTGCAAAAAAGCGCAACAATGGACCTTGTAAAAGTTTTCCAAGAAGCTTATGTAGTCTGCAGATTTTACCACAAAGAAGGTTGTAGACTTCTTCATCATTTACACTACATTAGAGTAATTTGACTATCAACCACGACAATGAGACCGCCTCACCTGCCACCTACAGTCTAAAGGACAGGGGAGCCCCCTGAGACAAGCTCACACGACCGTAACTCTCACTCTGTGCTGGCGGAACCCACCAGCATCGTCATCATTAAGTGACCATTAATGCATGACATCGTCATGCAGAGGCGCACATTATTAACCGAACGACGATTGCTGGATCCCTCGTCTAGGGTGATTGGACTCATCTATGGAGATTGGATTCACCTATGGGGATTGGACTCATCTATGGGGATTGAATTCATCTATGAGGATTGGACTCATATATGGGGATTGGACTTCATGCAGCCACCTGTTTACAGATCGTCTAAGTCCGAATGTATCTTTTAAGTCCATATGTTTGCAACCTGGCATCGAAATATGTAGGGGCTGTTGGGGCGCGTATCCAGGATACTTATCGTGTCGGGGTATTGTATATAGGGGCTGTTGGGCGCGTATCCAGGATACTAATCGTGTCGAAATATTGTATGTATGGGCGCGCGTATCCAGGATACTTATCGTGTCGGGGTATTGTATATAGGGGCTGTTGGGGCGCGTATCCAGGATACTTATCGTGTCGGGGTATTGTATATAGGGGCTGTTGGGGCGCGTATCCAGGATACTTTTCGTGTCGGGGTATTGTATATAGGGGCTGTTGAGGCGCGTATCCAGGATACTTATCGTGTCGGGGTATTGTATATAGGGGCTGCTGGAGCGCGTATCCAGGATACTTAACGCGTCGGGATGTTGTGTATAGGGGCTGTTGGGGCGCGTATCTAGGATACTTACGGTGTCCGTGTATAGTCTGGTCCTGAAAATATATTCTTATTGGGAGAATAACGAGACATCGTGAAACCGGGAGGGCAGGACAGCACCAAATTTTACAATTTTATTGCCAAATCTAATGTACAGCTTAATTTTGCATGGTACAAAATAAGTTCTTCATATAGGAAACGATAGTCAAATAGGAGTTCTGAATTTAGTTTAATTTTAACCGCCAAATCTTTAATTAACTCACACTTTCTTAGTATTATTGAAGGGATTCGGAATCGTAGAAATTTCATAGACCATAGTTTATTGGACTCGTCAGCTGATGGATGCAATTCTTGTTACATGAATAATATATTGTTGAAATTTATATTCAGAAGTCACTGTATCCACAGTGGGCATGCACGGAAAGAAATATTTTGGCATGTTTGTT